TCTACGACTTTCAATTCAGATACACCATAACCTGCAAATAGTAACGCGTCTCGCACTGACGTTGTTTCTGCGCCAGAACATGAGAGTAAATCAACTTCCAAAATATCACTAGCGTATTCCATGATAACCATGATAACTTCTGTGCTGTAAATATACATGAGCATGGCATGAGAATGGCACAAAGATCTACATACTACAGGAAATTGCAGGAAACCAAAATCAGTTAAAACGAACAGTGACTTGTATTTCCTTGATCAAAACTAGAAATGATTTGTGAAATTTCGAGTAATAAAACATAAAATTATGATGCACTGTTGAAAAGCGGTATAGTAATGCGCCATCTATGCACAAGTCGAAAGATAATAATCATTAAATGCAAAAACAAGGACTAACAGGGACCGCGAAATGTGGGTGGTAAAAAAGGACCACATAACCGAAGATTTAGAATGCATGAACATAAAGTCCAAAAAACGGCTTAACATAGGTTTTTGTAAAACTTGTACAGAAGGTGAAAAAATTCAGATCGTAAATGTTGTATCTGGGAATTTTTGAACATAAAAATGAATGAAAAATTTAGAAAATGCGATTCATGAAAACCAAAAAATCTTCAGGTTTAAAACCATTCGGAAGAGCAAAACACATGTTATAAAATCTAATATTTGATGAACTCCTAGAGACTAGGTATGGTGTACTAACAAAAATCACTCTTTGAAACTTGTGAAAGACGTAACACCCAAACAAAACGTTTGAGACCTTTTATTTATTTAGAAATCCAATTTTTATTTATACTAACACCCGCCATAGTGATTAAAAATAGAGGTGAAAAAGCGCAATTGTCTTAATGATTAGTTTCCTTAGATCACTGAAACAAAAATAAAAATTCTTACCCTGCAATAATTTCGGCCATATAACGTGTTTCTCTTTCACTCCAACACGGTGCAGTAGGATGCATGTCAAATAATTTACACCTTTGCGCAAACGGAGGCGGTTCGCTAAATGCGCCGATTATCTCAATGAAGCTAGACACATAAAATTAGGGTGGTTAATAAACTTTCAATTCTTACTCTTTCAGTTCCGTAACTAGCTTTGTGTTGCCATAGTCGATAAATTCAACAGTATAAACATTGCAGTTACTACTTTTTTCAATATCTATAACTCTACCTCGATACCATTCTGTTGCATGATAATTTACGATGTAAAGGGATCCTAGAAACAAACAAGTGAATAATTTTAGAAAAGAAAAATGCTTAAACGTACCTATTTCGGGAATTCTTTTCACACGAGCAGTAAAACGTTTAACATAATTTTGAATTTCTTCATGTAAACGTTGCAGCTCTTTCATTTGAGAATCAACTTGCACATAAAAATTTTCTGGATTGGCTATGTAGCTGATGTTCACAGAATGTCGATCCTCTATAAAAGTAAAAAGTATTTCATTAGCATTACTAACTGCATAAGTTTATTCTCTTTCAGATTAGATATAAAGTTCACTCAAAGTAAGGCATTACTTTTTATGTTATGTCCTGGGTGATTCAAAATGACTGATAAATTTTGAAAATCAAAATATAAACAAGTATAAATTGTGCACAACTCTTGTGCAGATAAAGCCCAATTTTTTTAACCGAAATAGCTTTTGTTTTGACATCACTAATGGATATATTTCTTCCAGACGTCTCAATCGCCCTTTGTGAGTACCCTCTTCCGACAATCCGTTCTTGAGGTATAAGGGAATATACCCGATCACGATAAGAGGTCGACGAGGAGGGCTATGGTTGGTAGAAATTAATTCCTTTCGTTGAGACCTTTCATTAGAATACCATGAAGGATAAAACTAGTTCACATTTTTTTAATTCTTAAAAAATGCGCTAAAAAAGATAAAAATGAGGAAATAACGTTTCATAGAAAATAAAAAGGAAACCTCTGAATTAGGTGTTTACATAGCATCTAAAATTGATAGCACAAAATAAATATGTAGGAAACAATGCAAACAGTGCCGCATTGTGGTTGGTATACTGGTAGAAGATTGTTGGCATAATGGGTGTATCCAGAGTCGCCCTTAGGGTAGAGCGAGTGGAGCGGGCGCTTGAGGCCTCGCATTGAGGGAGGCCTTACTCGCACTAAACAATAAGGTTTTGGTTGAATGAAATTAATATAACAATGTACAGATATCCGTGCTAAAATATTTTGTCTGCGCAAAATGTTCAATTATTGATTAATTAAAAAACCTACGAACAAGATTCTCATTCCTAAAAGATAGTCATTAGTCGCGAACAAAAGAATGCAAATGCAAAACATCATTTGATAGTGATGCCAAGTCATGGAACCTGAGCCTCGCGCCTACTGGTGGCCGGTGAGTGTCGGCGTCCACAACGGCGCACCACATCAAGCCTTGCCTCTAGCATAGTTCGGTCAAAGCAATAACTCAGACTTTCAAATACAAGTGGCCACAACGAAACCAATGTAAATGGAGAAACGAATGCTCTGACCTTTGCAGATAACCCGTATGGAAAGCTAGTGGACGATGCTATGTACGGTGCGCTGTTATGGGCATACCCTGAGCCATCCTTGCCTGATCTCCTCCCCTCCCTTTTCCCGCGTGCTGAAAATGACGACTTTGCAAGTATAATTTTGCAAATATTTCCGGGGAGGGCCCTATTCCCCTTTTCCATACCACCCAAACCTCTATATCACTGTTAAAAAAGGCCCCTCAAATTTGTTTTGCTCCAGACATCGCATTTGCTAAGGACGGCTCTGAGTGTATCAACCACAATGCAACACTGTTCGTATGGTTCCCTATAAATTTATTTTGTTCTATGAATTTCTGATACTATGTAAGCATACCTAATTCAGATGTAATACGCCAATGACGTGCGTGGAAACTTCCTGCTTATACAAGCATCAAATTTAAGAGCCACCATGGTGATCTCGGGAACTGTAAGAGATAGGTAGGTGGTTTAAATCTGGAAAAAAAATGAAATTTTGTAAAATCGTTTTTATTTTTTACTGAAATTATTTAAAAAAATTTTTAAAAATAAACAACACATCATTATGGCCACAAGATGCTAATTTTAAATTTTAAATCCGACGTTTCGTCTCCGGTTAACCTCCACCAACTTTGTTTTTTTTTTATGGAAGTAGCGGTTACTTTAAGTGTCACTTGATAGAGAATTTTTTTAAAAAATATAAACATCACTACTCTTTAAATATTGTTAAAGTATCTTCTTTTTGGCCTAGAAAACTTTGTCTTGGGTAGTATGCAATAGTACATACGTAGTTTTTAGCGTTTTTACAAATTAATAGCGCCATTTCTTATTAAAAGATAGTGATGTTTACATTTTTGAAATCAGAAAAATTCTCTATCAAATGACACAAAAAGTAAAAATTACTTCCATAAAAAAAACAGTTGATGATGGTTGACTGTAGACGAAACGTCAAACTTAAAATTTAAAAGTAGTATCTTGCAGAGGGAAAAAAGTGCCCATAATAATGTGTCATTTATTTAGAAATATCTTTTTAAATAACTTCAGTAAAAAATAAAAAAGATTTTGCAAAATTTCGTTTTTTTCCAGATATCACCGAAAGTAATTTTTGCAGTTTCAAAACTGCATTTTGTATTGCCTGTATAACGTTTGCGCCGTGATACACTAACAACCATAACTGTTCTTATGAAGTCTTTAATTTCAAGTTAAATGGTTTGTTCATCTATTTAGTGTTGCAGAATTATAGATATTCTTCTAAAAATTGCGGGTAAAAACAGACATATTTTCCTTTATCAAATACAACTTTTTATTTTATTATCACGTAGGAAACGCCGCTACTTGTACACAATATAATATACAATTGTATACAATACCCAGGAGAGAATGCCGATCACAGAACACCTGATGCAGGTGACAGATCACAGTTTTAAGAGCTACAAAACTTTATTTCTTTCAAGGATGAGTCACCTTAAATCTCGCCTTAAATACATGGCAAGGAGTAAGTAATCTGAAATAAGTGCAGAAAAAAACCCCACAAAGTGTACATATTAGCCGTCTGGAGTATAGGCTAATGTAAAGTTGCAGAAATTTGACCTTTGCTTTGTCTATCTGGAAATCAGTGATCACTAAAGAGTTCCCACGCTACATAAGTATATCATGTTTAACAGTTAATCAAGGAAAGGGTTGCAAGAATGAGTACCCACAATGGTTTAAAGTAAAATTCTGTGTGAATATGATTGTCAGTGGGTACAATAAACGATTTGTTTTTATTTACTTACTTGGTTTGAATATAGGAGTGTTTATTGTAAAAGTTGATTCGTGAACACCTTTGATCCATCCCTCTACTGCTTTCGTCTTGGGTGTCATCTTTGACGGTTTACTTCGAGTATGTGATACACTGCTATTTTGACTAAGTGCCACTATACAAAAAAAATATATTAATGCATCAATTTATTATCGAGAGAATAAAAACACCAAAAACGATTCTCCAACTTACTTGACGAGTTAGATGAAACTGATTCGGGAGACCTTGTCAAACTTCGATTCAAGTGTACAACTTCTAATGAAGCCAAATCGTCGGGTAACTCAACGTGATAATTTTCGGGCAATTCGTCTTCACGTAAAAGTCTAAAACTAGTTTCGGTTTCTTTAAATTGCGAAGAAACAGTTTCTTCCAAATTTTCAAATGGATCTTCACAATTAAATCTGCAAAAAAAAAGTATGCAACAATTTTATAATCTCACTTTTTTATCTATCACTGGCACTTTGTTTTGCTCGTTATTAGTTATGTTTATCAGTTTTAAATGAGCATTTCACGTTCACCTTCAAAGATCTTTTTAGCTCTTAACCCTCTAAAGTGAGATGAACTATGACGGGCCTGAGATTTACTTTTTTCCACCTCAAGTGAGCTTACTCTGTTTGGTTTGGTAGTGAGTGCGATTAAAATCTGGATTTTGAGATTATAAAAAATGTGAAGGTTAGGGGTGGTTCCCAAACGAAACACGTTTGACCTTCGGTTTATTTGGAAAAAGGCCTTGTTTGATTCCCTCTACCACTCAAATTTTTGTTTACATATATGTAACACCCTGTATATTCGCTATTTTGCAAAAGAAATTTTGACAAATAACTAGTGTAATGAATGTTTAGGAGAGTACCATGCAAAAGCTGTATTCAGACATCCCATCTTCAAAATAAATAATATAAGTACACTTACTGTACGGCGTAAGTAACTTGTTCCTGTCCGATTAAATAACAAGGGACGGCAACGAAACTCTTCAGTTTGTCGATTAAGTTCTGCACATTAACCTTTACTTTATTAGTTTCATCGTTCACATTTAAAGCAGTATCAATTAAACCGTGTAAAGTTCGTATATTGGAACGTAAATCTTCATCGATTTCGTTCAACGCGTCAATGTGTTTGGTTTTAATACTTTCAGAATTACTTCTTATCTGTTTTTCCAAAGATTGCAGTCTAGCATGGAGCCTCAAGAAATATGTACCGATCGCTGCATCAATCGGATTGTTGGAAGCCATCGATGCTCTTTGGAGGTGATATCTTACATTCTGAAAAAAAAGAATGAAACGTTAATAATATTAGTCTAGTTTATTTGGTTTATTTTAAGAAAGACCCTACATATTGTAGCAAGGCGTGGATAGTCGACAAATTACAGTTTGATTCAAGGTCGTACTACTTGGTTGATTATTATACCAGGACTGCTCAACCCCATGCACGCAGACCACAACGCAGATCCGTAAAAAGACGTTGAGCAGTCCTGATCTACACCATTGAACCATTAAAAAAAAAATGTTACACACGTATTTCGAAGCGCCCTAAGTATATGTATTATTCAAATGACTATTTGATAATCTACGGTTGCATAAAAAGTCAAATGTTTTATTTAATTTTCCGGTTAAAACGGAAGTGATGACGATTCTATTCCCTTCGTTTTTATTCCTATTATAAACCACTAAAATTTCATAATCAAGATGCTGCACTCGCGCTCAACGACCTCATCGTGCGAGAGTACCTATCGGGCGAATTTTCTGGAAAATAGACAATTTCTCCGATAGGTATTCTAGCACGATTAGGGCGTTGTGCTGGGGCGCCCCATCCTGTTGAAACCAACAGTTTCCCACTTTTGTTTTTTTGTGTGCCGTTGCCGTTGTATTATGTATAAAAAATGCTGCTCCATACAGTATTTTTTACAGGCCATATAAAAAATTAAGTTGATGATGATTTCTCCGAAACGAAACGTTGTAAGGAAAATCTCTCTACGGCTGTAGAGCCCAAAATGTGGCAATGAGAAAGTGTTTTTTTTTTATTTTTTGTATGTGTTCAAATGACAAATAGGTATCAGAAATAAATAAAAAACGAAATCAGCAAATTTCCGTTTTTCTGGCATATCTTCGGAAGTAATCGGAATTTTCTAGGTTTCTTTAAAGCATGATAATAACTCTTTAATTGCGCATCTTTTCTCTAATTTGACCATCGTCGTACCCTTATATGGTTTCCAAGATCCACATGATATACATTCTTAGCTTGTGCACAAGGTATATGTACAGTGTGTCCTGTTTTGGTTGAGACTGCAGTATATCTCCACCGTTTTCAAAGATAGAGACTTGCGGTTTTCGCAACCCTTTGCTACTTTTTTGTGAAACTTTTAATACCACAAACAGTGTCGATCCAACTATGTTTGTTTCTGAGACCCAGGGTGAAAACGAAAAGTTTGGCTTTTTGGGGTGTTATCGTATCTTACTATGTAAGATAGAAAAAAGATAATGCCTATTCTAGATATTTTTACGTAAAATCCATGGCGTAGTAAAAATAAATGTTTGGACCACTCTGAGATTTGACCCAAAGTTGGTATTTTTTAAGAGTAACACCCTGTACGTCTTAACGTCAATTTTTTGCAATTTTTCCTGGTTATATTACATTAATGTAACTATGTACCTATATTTTGGTTTCATTTTAGCCATGAACCAATAATAAAATCCTTATATTTTTAGGGTTTTTAAATAATAGGCCATGGATTTATGGAAATCGTGTATTTACTCGTATAATTCCAATGTCATTGATCCGTATGTGATTATTCTTTAATAACATTCATCAAAATCGCTTGCACACTCTTGAAGAACTTCAAAATGCGATCGTAGAAGAGGTGATAAACATCACACTGGCAATGTTAGAACGTGTATTTGAAAACATGATCCATCGAGTGCAACATGGTGGTGGACATTTTGAACAGTCATTGTCATGAAGGGCTTAATTTATTGTAAACTTGTGCTGGATAAATTAATGTTCTTTAATTAATCAATTGTGATTATTTTTAATTGTCAATTAAATTGATCTGTCACTGCATTTAAATAAATTACATTTGGCGTGTCACCAACTTTATAATTTTTTTGTTCTGCGGGAAATTCAAACTGTCCGCACTACTTACCTTTAGATCATACGTACTCCATTAGAAACGTATTAATAATAATAATAACTTTTATTGAGCTTCAATTAAAATACATAAACAGCTTTCCAAATAAAAATAAAATTGTGTTCCAATTTGTATTCCAACCTCGATTCCAACCATGAAATTATGAGAAAGAAGAGTTAGTTAGGACACAACAAATGTGCGGAAACACAGAAGGGAAAAGAACTACTACACTTATTAACCAATATTAATTGTGCCTCCGCAACGATACAGATACTAGCAAAAAATCCTGAAACGCTACGTTGATTTTTATGGTTTGTCTAAACAAAGTTCTTATGGGAATAAAGTACACGCTTTCCCAACTGAGAATAGCAGTAAGATGAATAATTTGGAATAAGCTGGAGGGGTACTTACGCGAATAGACGAAATTAACCGCAATAATGCACCCAAATGGAAAATTATTATTACAATTTGCATAATGCACACTTATATCAACGAATCTTACAATCATGAACCGAAAAATGTAATGCGTACTAGAGAGACTTGTGACAAATTTTATTATTATTTATTTTTGGTTTTGACATTAAAGTATTAACGAAAATCGCAAGAGCCTAAATACATATTTTTCTTAAGTCAATTCCAAGGAAGATACGTAAAGACTGAAGAAATTAAAAATTATTTCAAGTTTGTATTCTCGTTAAGACAAAATGTCGATAAGGGCTATTAAAACCGAAAAAACAAATTTGAAAGTGCACTATTCGCCTCTTGCTCACAAGCGGCTTAACGAATTTTTTATCAATTAGTGCAAAGTGAACTAAAGAACAATTTAAACAAGTTAAAAAAGTAATCGTAAACGATTTACAAAAAGCGCATTTCCACTTGCATTCATTTCTCATTTGTAAGATGTAACTTCTCTTAAACTCGTAAAAATCTGGCCACAAACAAGAAAGATAGGGTTGCATAATATGTGCAGTCCATTTTTGACGTGCACATGTGTACCAAATTTCAAAGCGATCGGACATTTCTAAACAAGTTATCGTTCACGTGGACAGATAGATGGACAGAGAGACAAAGGAACAGATCAACGGACTGATCAACAGACAGACAGACAGCAATACAAAATTATAAACGAATATTTCCCTCATATGTCATAAATGCCATATGAGGTGTGCAATTATCGCTCAATTACAGCGATAATTGCACTGTAGAAAGCGAAAGAGCCCTGCGATAATTGCACTGTCACTGTCCATATCCATGGCAACTGGCAACTCCTTTGGACAATTTCACAATACACCGACAATTTATAAGTAGGTAACGTCAGTTTGACAAGTAATGCTTGTTCGGGAAATATTCATATATAATACCATAAGTAGTCGAAGTATTGTCGAATATTTTTGAGGTGCTCAGCAATAATAATCTACAAATACTTCGACTACGAATGGTATTCGGAGGACTATTCAATGAATCAAAAGAAAAATTAAGCATAATTACCCACGCGAATGTATTTCCATGACAACAATAAACGTCAAAATAAATTATGGAAGTTGCTTTTTATTTTGCTATTGATTCTATTCGAACTTTTGTGCTCCAAGCTAATTCGTTATGAGTGATTAAATTAAAAGATGTGGTGATGTCGCTTGTCGAAATTGATTAACAAACTAAGAAGAATGTTCCGGTTAATACGACAAAATTTCGCGACATTTCACTGGTGGAAGTTTGACAAATGTCATTGAATAATCGCATTGAATTATCGCTGAAATACCACACGTGAAATTATCACTATAATTCGTTCCCATTGGCTCAACAATTTGAAATCTCGACATTTCACTGGTCGAAATGTGACAAATGTTAGATGAATTGAATAGTCCCCTAAATTACACTCGTGCATCAAAATAAACCTGATAATTTTTTATTCAAGCATGTTGTCAGTAAAAAACTGCATTCGGTCATTTTCATATTTTGTTAAAAGAGCCCTCCACCTTCGGTGACGGGCTCTTTCGCCAAAATATGAAAATAAACTCATGCAGTTTTTAGACAACATGCTTTCAAAAAAATTATCGGTAATTTTGATGCACTTGTGCAATTACCTACGATAATTTTACAGCACGAGTGATTTTAGTAGAAAATATAAATCACTCGTGCCGCCAAATGATTGAAACAAAAAATAGAATTTTACGCAAAGACTGTATTCTAATTTATTTTTTTTTTCCGGTTTCCCAAATTGAAAAATAATAAATGAGGACATGTACAAACGCAGAATTATTCAAGCGACAAGAAACCTATTTACAACTTTGCTCTAAATTAATTAGGGGAGAAAGTATTTGGATATAAAGAAATTAGCATTGAAATCCCTATGGTGCCTAAACTGTTTCTGTATACCAAATTTGCTTACAATCGGCTCAGCCGTTTAGCAGGAGTACAGGTAGACAGATCGAGATCATTGAGATTTTGTTTGATTCGGATTCCTGGTGCTTCAAAATGGGTATTTCCGTTAAAAAAAGCAGGGAGAATGTTTTGCAAAATAAAAAAGAAAGAATATGAGAAAAACAAAAGACAGTGGTCAAAATAAAAAACTTGTTTTGTGACCAATAAGATTTAAATAAATCCAAAAAATGTCACCGACCATCGAGGAAAAATGAATTCAATATCCACTCTAAACCCTCACATATGTACATACACGAATGAGCAATCTCAATTATGGATTTAATGTACATTTAAAAATCGTGTTCAGTAAAACATGAGATTATCCGTGTCTGAAGGATAAATTTGATTATGAGAAAAACATTTTTTTTTTAAGATGGTGATGGATTCTGAGAGACAGTAGGGGCCAGAGTGGGCCAATCCAACTTACCGAAGGTCTTGCTACGCTAGTTGAACGCGAAATGCAGAGAATATACCCAGTGCTGAAATTGTTATAATGATGTTATACTCCTCTTACGTAGTGTACGCAGTGACAGTTATTTTAGGATATTTTATTGTTATCGGTGAGTAACTATCCAGATAAATAATTAAGAAAATGCAGCCGTTATTACTATTCATTTGGCTCAAAAAAATTATTAAACTTCAATCGTAAGTAATAGATGAAGTTGATTATAATCTGAAAGTAAAAGTTGCTGTCCTATTTATAAACAATTATT